GATGCAGGAAGCATGGCATCACATCATGCCATAAAACCAAAATGGCAAACATTTAGCAGCAAAGACTACCTATATCAAAAATCACCTGAAGAAAACCTGCCATGCAGAGCACTGAACAGCCTGCAGTGTGTAAGCACCAAGTGAAAGCAGCCTCATATGGAAAGTCATCCCTGTGCTGTGGGAATGAAATCAGGCTCAGCACAACCCAGATTTCCTCCTGCACAAACACAGATCAATATCCTAGAAGCACACACACCAGGATCTTTAATGAACACTCACACCTCACAAAGCTCCACAGGTACCTGTCCCCACTCCAAAGCTGTGGCCACCCATCCTCTGCCAGGTGCAGCCCTGCTGCCATCTCCCCTCTCAGTGGGCAGGCCACCAGTTTTCATACTCAGCAAAAATCCCAGAGCTGGGATAACTGCACAAAGGACCTGGCAAGTTCAGTGCTTAGAAGAAGAATCTCCTCTTCTGCCTTGCCAAGCCCACTCGATTACCTCAGCCCTCTACTGACACAAAACAATATAAGTAAATTCAAGTCCTCAATACCCCATAGCTCTCACAATGGTGCCTGAGCACTTGGTTGTCCTGGGGCCTTTCTTGCAGCACAGCTGGATGTAAATCTGTAAGGCCCTGATGCTGTCATTAGAATATAGCACTTGACTTCATTGGATGCAGGGTCCTGGTACAGCTCTGCATAAATTCATTTCAGTTCCTAGTGCTGCACCCTGCAGCATTGGGAATGAAGAGCAAACTACTTAATGAGTGATAATCATCTTGTATATATAGCTTTGAAAAGAGCTCAGCATGGTGGAGAAGATCCGAGAGATCTTCTGGAGAATTGAATCTTGGTTTTCCTATCCAAAAATAGCTCATGGGGAACAGCCCACTTTTGTATTCCACTAAGTCTAAGTGAAACCAAACCCAGCAAATTTATACATTATTTTACTTTTTGTCCAGTAAACTCTAAGACCATTCTGTTTCCTTTTAATTTCAGTCTCAGGTGTGCTTTATTTATTATACTTGCTTGTATTCTTCTCTAAGCTGACTCTCTTCAGAATTTCAAGTCTACTTTATGGTAAAACAAATCTAATATTCTGATACTATCCGGAGGCATAGGATTGGCTTAAACCCAGATGAAGACAATTCATTTTGTTCTGTAGAATACAGGTTAATTTAATCTTAGTGTCTCATTTTCCTTACATATAACATGAAAACACTGGCTTCTCATGTTTCAATCACAAAAAGTTAAATTGCAATTACTGACATGTCAGGCAGTTGGCAGGTGTGCAAGGAAGGGTATGAGTCCAAATTATTACATATACAGTACTGTATTTATGAAGTTTTTAACCTTGTTTAGGAAAAAAACCCAGATTTTGCAGATATCCCTCTGTGGTCATGTGAAAATCTGCCCAAAGAGATTGCAGCTGAAGGATGTGCTGTGAAATCAGTCTAGTTATTGTCCTTCTCAAAAAAAGTTATGAGGGTCCATCTCACTGAACCTGATTCTGTTCTTCCCTACAGTGGTGCAGACTGAGTGATTAACAGTAACTGAGACAGAAATCTGACTTTTTGAGTCAAATTCTAGGATAGTTTGTGTAGCTAGACTCCACAGAGCCTGGCTCTTCACTTTCCAGGAATTTATTTAATGCTCAGAAATGGAGGAAGAACATTTCACTGACAATATCTGCTATATTGAGAGCTAGCTTAACCTTTCAAAATGATCAGATTAATTTCATTTTGTACTGTTTTATATAATCCACAGCTTTTGACTTAACTGCCTTGTGTGTAGAGTGATTTGGAATGCAAGTGGGTATTATAAAAAAGTAGATGTCTAATAATGATAAACTGATGTGATTTTGGTGAGAGGTTTCCCTGTGTTTGCCCTCAGCTAAGAACATTTCATGTATTTCAGCTCTGCCTCTAAAGTAACTGTAGTTCAAGGCATTAATATTTCATGAGGTTCCCCTTTAGGAAAAGTAAAAGCAGTTTTTCCTGTTTGTGAAATTTCCACATTGCCAAGAACAAGAAAGCTTTCGAAACACTATCTTTGCTGCTTGCAGAGCTTCACTGCCTTATAGGGTCTGAATCCCCTGGATTCACGCTGGGGGCGGGCTGGGAATGCTGGCTTTTCCTCCTTCTGGGTGATTCTGGGAGGCCTGCAAATGATGTCATGGTACATTTTAGGCTACAATAACAGGAAATCATCAAGTGTTTACACTGGCAAACTGGGCTGTGATGTGATTTTCCTCCTCTTCCTCTCTGCCCCCCCCCACCCACCTCGCCCCTGCCATTGACTTCCTTGATATATCTGCTTCCTCTGATTAAAATACTACAAGGTGGCAACACTGAAGGAGGAAAAAGGGAAGTGGGGGAGGGAGACAGAAAGGCATATTTTAAAAAAAGGATGATTCCCCTCAAATCACTGACAGAGAGCACAGTCCTCCCTCCCTGGCCCAGCACATTCTGTGTTAGTGCAGGCTCAGAAACACGTCAGAAACTGGCCTGCTGAGGAACTGGAGGATGGACCGCTCCCAGCTGAGACATGAAAAAGAAACTCTCCCCTCCTAGAACAGATGAGTCACAGAAAAGATCTCCCTGGCAAGGTTTTCTTTGAATTTTCCTCCTGCACAGGCACATCTAAAAATATACACCATGGGTTGATGGATTTCAAGGAGAAGGCCACGTTTTCAGGGCTTGGGTCAGAGCAAGGAGGCAAGTGACTTTTACCCAGACTCTACCACAATCTGTAGCAAACATCAGTTTTCAGTTTCAGTTTCAGAGGCAAGGGAGGGTGCTAGGGTTCAGGTCCTGCTTGTACCAGTGATGCACAGCATGAATGTCAGACATTGTGTCCTTCCCAACCTGTTAATACAAAGGCAAGGAGGAGGAAGGTGTAGGGTGGTATCCCAAAGACAAGGGATTCCAATGAGGTAAAACAGACTGATTGGGAGGGATTGTCCTGCTCTGCTCTGCACTGGCATTGGCCCCAGCTTGAATACTGTGAGAAGTTTTGAGCACCACAATATAAAAAAGACATTAATTTGTTAGAGAGGGTCCAAAGGACGACCACAGGATGGGCGGATCTGGAGGGGAAGCCTTATGAAGAGTGACTGAGGCCACTTGGTTTATTCAGCCTGGAGAAAAGGAGATTGAGGTCAGACCTCATTGTGGTCTTCAACATCTCCACAAAGGGAAGCAGAGGGGCAGGTGATGATCTCTTCACTCTTATGACCAGTGACAGGACACAAGGAAATGGCATGGACCTGAGTCAGGGGAGATCCAGGTTGGATATCAAGGAGAAGTTTTTCAGCCAGAGTGTGGTTGAGCACTGGAACAGACTCCCCAGGGGAGTGGTCAGAGCACCAAGGCTGTCTGAGTTCAAGAATCATTTGAACAATGCTCTCAGGCATGTGGTGGGATTCTTGGGGATGGTCCTGTGCATGGCCAGGAGTTAGATTCAATGATCCTTCAGGGTCCCTTCCAACTCAGCACACTCTATGATTCTATGACTCTGGAATAAGGTAGGAAGGGAGAGAGTAGCAAATAATTTTATTTCTATTGTCTATTTTTTCTCAATTTATGCAGTATCAGCAAGACTGGCAGTTTAAATTATGCTGAGAAGTCTCCCAAATGGGAGATGAGCCTGAGACACTCACTAAAGTAAAACTACCAGGGTATGGAAAGTCTTTCTGAGAGTACCATTTCTCTGTTCAGTGCAGTTAGAAATTGCAGGTTTTTAGTTCATAAAGCTCAAGAACAGGCAGACAGGAAACCTTTCAGAAAAAAATACAGTCAGAGGGACTTACACCTTGCATCTATGATGCAACTGTAAAGTGCAATTTACAGCAGTTGGCAGAAGGAACAGGAACCATGAAGATGTGATTTCACCACTCCAAGTTACTCAAACAGTTATCTATGGTCAGTGACAAGCTGATACAAACTGCATTAGCACCACGGGTGCTTTGGCTTCATCATTATTACAATGATGTTATTACCTGAGGCCTCTAATCAGGGCTTTGAGACAAAGACCATCACAGCAACGCTCACACATTTATTATCTCCCAGCATGAGTCTAACCTGGTCCGGAATAAAGAGGAAGATTTTGGTCCAACCAGCTGGGATCTTAAGGCCACTTAAATAGGGACTTCACTCCCAGACACACTCAAAATGAAGCACAATCTCACATGCTTTGCTAAATGAGGGGTTGAGGATTTCCTCTCTTTGATAATCCCAAAGATAAATTGTAGGTGAGGTTTAGGCTGGATATCAGAAAAATGTTTTTCACCATGAAGTGTGCTTGCCCCACCTCGAGTACTCTGTGCTGTTTTGGGCACCGAAAGGAGGGCCGGGAGGAAGGGGAGAGGTCTGGAGGGGAAGCCTTAGGAGTGGCTGAGGTCACTTGGTTTGTTCAGCCTGGAGGAGACTGAGGTCAGACCTCATTGTGTTCTTCAACATCTTCACCAGGGGAAGTGCAGGGGCAGGTACCAAGCTCTTCACTCTCGTGACCAGTGACTCGAGGAAATGGCATGAACCTGAGTCAGGGGATGTTTAGGCTGGCTAAAAGAAAAGACTTTTCACCCAGAGGGTGGTTGGGCCCTGGAACAGAATCCCCAGGGAAGCGGTCAAAGCACCGAGGCTGACAAAGCTCAAGAAGCGTTTGGACAACATTATGGGGCACACGGTGTGGCTGCTGGGGACGGTCCTGTGCTTTCTCGCAAGGCTTCCCTCGCTCTGGTTCAGGACACATCTCGCCGCCCCTCAGCTCTCCGCACGCACAAGGGGAAAACGCCCTGGCCCCTAGTCCTGGGGGCCGCAGAGGATGCAGGGCCAGCCCCGCCGCACCCCTGCGGCACCCGCGGGGCCGGGCTCGCCTCAGGCGGCCGCACCCAGGGCGGGCGGCGGGCGCGGGAAGCGGAAGCGGCGCGGGCAGGGCCGGCCGGGCCGGGCCGGGCAGGGCGGGCCGGGGAGGCGGAGCGAGGAGCGGCGCTGGCGGCATGGCGGCCCGCGCGGGCCCGGCCGGGCGCCGCGGCCAGCCCAGCTCGTCCCCGGCCCGCAAGCGGCTGAAGCCGCTGCGGACGGTGGTGGCGTGGAGGGGCCGGGCGGAGTGGGACCAGGTGATGGTGGGGCTGTACTGCGGGGACAGCCGGCTGCAGCAGGACGCGCTGGACCGCGTCTCGGCGTGGAAGAGCCGGTACGGGCCGCGCGCCGCGGGCGGGCAGCGATGCGGGGCTCGGGGCCGGCCCTGTGTCCCTGGAGCGGCCGCTCTGTGCCCTCGGCCCCGGCTGTGCCCGGCCCCCGCCGGAGCAGCTCCGCGGCCGGGGCTGTGGGGGCAGGCCGGCGGTGCAGCAGGGCTGGCGGCCCCGTCTTGCAGAGCTCCTTCATTGCGGGAGGCTCCGGGCACGCAGCTTATGCCGAGAGTACGGTGGTCCTGTGGGAGCAGGGTGGCATAAGCCCTGCATGCCCGCAACTTCACGGGCTGATTTCTCTGGCAGTGAGCATATCCAAGGCCCTTAAATTGCCTCTGCTGCATCCGTACACAAGACCCGCCTAGGTAAAGCATCTTGTCTGTGTGCTTGGCGTATCAGTAAATATTCATTTACCGTGTGCTTAGGAGTAACCGTGTAACCACTCTGTTCCAATAGAACCCTTCTGGAAAGAGCCTTTGATGCTCTCTCAGCATACCATTTCTTAGGCTGTTATGTACCACAGAACACAAAATGTAGTGGAAAAGCTGCCCTTTTTACAGGGTGAGTGTATTTGTGTGAGCCTGCTCACCTGGTTTTCCTTGCCTCCAGGTACGGTCCAAAAATGCCTCTTGCAGTGGACTCCACGGCAGAACTGATTCGCTGTAAGGTCCTCGATTCATCTGGCAGATTGAAGTCACACGAGCTCATCCTGTCTTATGGGCTGGCCCTTGTAAGGTAAGGGCTCTCAAGGCCCTTGTGCTTTTGAGAGAAAGACCTGGACAGATGTCATTATTCCACTGTCTGAGTTCACTTTGCATCTCTGGGACCACAGGATTGTATAGTACGCAGGGAGTTTGTCTCAGGAGTTCCAAGTTTCTCTGCAGCTCTTGATAGTAATTTATAGTATATATAGTATATATAGTAATTTATTTTTTCTGTAACCTCCATGCAGATTTGTCAACTTGATCACAGAAAGGAAACAGAAGTCGGTCAGCATTCCTCTGAGACAATTAGCGAGAGAGGTAACTATTGAATAGGAGTTGCTTGATAATTTACAGGTTATTAACAACACTAGTGAATGAAATTATGGGGGATCATTCTTTTGTAGCCAAAATAACAGATATAGATGCTTGTTTATTCTAGCTGCAAAGTTTTAAATGGGTTTATTGCAACTGGATACAAAATTTGTTCTTTGAAGTCACAATAAGAGTGACAAAGGCTGATGATCATTAAAGGTTTTTGAATCACATGTGATCAAATGATTTGAATCACATATGATCAAATGTGTGTAGTCCCACTTGACATACTGTCACACGTTTTGCTTTCTTGGCGACTGAGGAAAAAGAGCTAAATCTGTGGTTTATAAATCCTAGTCTTTGGCAAGCAAGGCTATTCATCACATTTGTAGGTATTTTCATCTCTTTTTTTTTCAGGTGAGCTTTTCCACTCATGTGGAGGAGGAAGGGTTCAAACTGTAATTGTAGTAGCAGGACCAACTTGAGTCCTTTTAGTGCCAGCTGCACTGAGCATCATACCTGGGACTGAACAAGTTTTGACAGTGAAGGACAGACAGTATTAGAGACTCTTCTGTATATGTTTGGACCCCTGTGTGGGAATGATGAATTGATTTTTTTTTTCCTGGGTTTTTGAGAAAAGTTCTGCTTCTCACTTTTTAAAACTGATCAAGCTTAAAAGCAAAGGTCCTGCATAGTTAAAGGTAGTTGCCCTCAGGAAAGCTGAAAAAAACTACATGCAAATTATCGTGTAAATGTCAGTATTATATGTGATACTGTGTCTTTGATACATAGTTATCCAGAATGAGAAGCAATTAAACTGTATTTGAATGGATGAGACAGTTACATTAGATTACATGTAACACCTCTGTCTAAAAAGAAATCTCTTGTTGCATGTAACACTGAAGGACTTAAACTGTAAAATACAAGTTTGTATGAGTCCTAGCCCACAGGAGGAGTGGCCTCAGAGAGCTGGGGGATCTTGGCTCACTCCTGAAGTGGAGCCAAGGGAACTACAGCGCAGCAGTGGCCAGGAAGGTGCTGTTCCCACCTGCTGGAGGCTCGGTGCAGCTGTGCAGGGCTGGTGCAGCTGTGCAGGGCTGATGCAGTGGGGCAGGGCTGGTGCAGTGGGGCAGAGGGGTCAGCTGCTGCTGTTGTTGCAGGTGGACATCCCCGTGTGGGTCGTGGATCTCCGTCACGAGCTGACGCACGGGAAGCTGCCGCGGCTGGCCCTGTGCCGCAAGGGTGAGTGAGTGAGTGAGTGAGTGAGTGCCACCAGCAGCTGCCACTGGCAGGGGTGGCCTGAGGCACATTGCCCAGGGTGGCAGTGCCAGAGCTGCAGGCCCTGAGGGGAGCACCCCTGCCTCCGTTTTGGGGTGCTGCAGGACAGGCAGGGAGAGTTGTGATATCAGACTCTGGGAGGATTTGCCACTGCCCTGTCAGGATAGCTGAGCTGTGTCCTGTGGCTCCTCACAGGACAAATGTTCAGAGGCTTTCTCCTGTCCCTGAAAAAATGACTCAAAACAGCAACAGCTGGTTGCAACAGTTTGGTGCTTTTGCTTTTTAACAGCACAGGAAGTTCATCTTGGGGAAATAGGTAAAAGCTTTTTCTGATGGTATAGTGATACCTAAGACTCCTAAAAAATCCTATTTAAGGAGAAATTTGGATACTGCAAGCCTCAGTGAATGACCAGCTCATAGTATTTGAAGAGACTCCTGGAAATATTGGGTTAAGGCTTGAGAATCCAGTTAAATAATCTTCAGCATGGTCCTTAGATTGAATTGGGAAAATGCTGATTAAAGTAAAGGCATTTCCTTTCTATTCTATTTCATGTATGCATAGTGTAGTCCCTGCATAAAAAAAATCTGTTATTGTTGTAGATGCTGTGTTGACCATGGTGATACTAACATGGTGATACTAAAGTATTGACTAATTTTCTCATCTGAATGCCACTGCAGGGACCTAGCTGCTGCTTAAATTTGACCTAGCTTGAGCAAGGTGTAGTGCCATAGCAGTGTCCAATCATTTTTTTTCTCCCCCAAAAATATGATGGGTAGTTATCATGTCTGTGATACTGGATTGGGTTTTTTCTCTTCCTGGTTTCTTTCTGGAGGTTGGTTTTGGTTTGGTTTTGGGGGGTTTTGTTTGTTTGTTTGGGTTTTTTAACTTGTTCACTTCATTCATTAATGGAGTATTTTGTGTTTTCAAGGTTCATAACTGGTTAATAGCATTTATTTTCATAATTCAAGTTAGCAATATACCACCTATTATTTTTTGCCATAACAAAGAAATCCTCCCTGAGATGTTTTCTGTTCTCTGTTAGGTTGTGATGTTGTGCTGGAGTGGCTGCGGAAGATGTATTGGAACCGTCAGCTGGGCAATAACTTGTGTGAGGAAGATGAGGATGAGGAAGAAGAGCAGGAAGAGGTGGAAGCAAATGCAGATTTGGATGGTGATGCATGGGAGATTCAAACCCCACAGCATGAGGCCTGTCAGAAACACAAGGAATTCCATGGTAGGTGTTCCTAGAACAACAGCAGACACAAGGATTGGATATGCTAAAGAAAGCAGATTAAATGTGTCATCTTCTAGCATAAAGATATACCTTCAGCTCAGGTTTTGGGATTCCTCTTTGAGTCTTGGTGGATTCCTGGTGTTGACTGACTGGTTTGGTAGTATTTCTCCAAATTTTTAGCACTTTGTGAATAGCTGTAGTGTTGATGCAATTGATACAAAATGCAAGTGTATGGAATACAAATATGCATCAGAACATAAACTGCATATGGGAACAATTTCTTCCTGCACTGATCTAGGAATTTGGTTTTTAGCTGTCTGTGTTTATCCAACTTACCTGTCTTTGGCTACTGTTAGTGATAAAATATGGAAATTGTGGTTCAACCCCACTTGAGAAAATTCATGTTGCTGGAAAAGTCTGGGAGTTCTGGGAGCCTTCAGTGTGTTGTCTCAACAGAATTGCTGCCTTCATTTGGCTGATGCCTTCCTTGAGTGTAAATTTAGCAAAATTAAGCAGCTTCCTTAGATACAAAATCCCCTTACATAGTTGGTCTTCTGCTTAAATTATAAATTTATGTTTATTTCTAGAAAAAGTCAGAGATGTTCTGATATCTTACAAGAATGAGCAGTTCCGGGTAAGTGCACTCTGATGATCAGCACTTTGGTTCATTCTTTCTTCCTTCTTGGGCAATATATTTTCTCTTCCTTGTTGCCTTAGTTAGTTCCTTGCTCAGGTCTGTCTGCTAGTGTTGTCATACCTGGCTTGCCAAAGGAAAACTTCACTAAAGAGAACAAGCAATTTGAGCTCTGACAGTTCCTAATGTGGGCACTTTGTTCAGGTTTATAAAGGTGATCTGTGGTTATTGGAGATTCCAAGAAAGGGGAACATTCGTGAACTTTTTCAGGTGCTGGTGATAAAGTACAGGTGGCACATGCATCTTCTTGTCACAGCAATAATGTCTTTGTCATGGGAGTGTATTTTCTGCTCATGCTTGAATTTTGCCTTCACTCAGGTTATGCAGGCTATGCCGTCTCTTTCAAAGTCTCGAGAATTGTGGTCTGATTCCTCTTCAGAATTGGACTGGATTTTGGCTCAGATCAAAGACCTGATGCAGGAAAACAGGTATGTCTCTGCTAAAGAGCTGAGGTGAAGGGTATGGTGCTGAACTGGGCTGTAGACCTGTTTAATTGCCTTTTCATGGTAGCTGATCATGGAGAAAGCAATAAGTCAATGTCCTCAACGTCTTTGAGGGCTGAGTTGTTGATGTGTGCTAATGAGCAATGGTCTTTGTGCCAGGTGATACCAAGGTGTTCTCCCAGACTTAGTGATGCTGGCTCCAAGGCATGCAGCATCTTCAATGTCTTCAAAAGCTCCCAACAAACCTGTAGAGATTTTGCTTTCACAGTAACCTTTGGAATTCTTCAAAACTGCAGGGCAATATTTGGCATTTCTATATTTTTTATCTTTCTATTACTACAGAGCCTCTAGGACCTAGTGTCTTGAGACTTCCTTATTAGCATATAAATTTGCATGGAGATTTTGACCTGCTTTGAGAAATCTAAATGGTGTAACTGCAGAGGGGAGAGAGTATCATGTTACAGATAAGAGCTGGAACTCCTGATATTTTGAATATAAATATATATGCCATACAAGAATAGCATTACCAGGTCTCTCAAACAAAAAATTCTCCATTCCCTCCTCACAGTTCCAGGTGTTTGTCAGTCAAACTTGTTTCAGAACTGGGGCAGGTGGTGTTTTGATACATGAAGGAATATAAGTTTATAAACTCTCTGCTCTAGGGCGACAGTGGCTGAAGCTCTTCTCAGTGATGGCTTTCTCATCCCAAAGATGGATTGTCTGAAGATGCTAAATATCAAATATGAAGGTGAGTGCTTTATGCATCACCCAAGTAGAAAATGCATAGCTAGTGTTATGACCAAGTCTGTTATTATTTTCTCATTATATTGAAATCTCTAATTGGCTGCATATTTTTTGTTTATCTAGGTCCTTAAATATCTTTTGCCCTGTTCTCCAGAACCCCTTATGGCCATGCTTAGCTACTGCTTTGCATAAAACTCTTGGGATGGAAGGATAGCTCTTCAGCACTGAATATCTGGCCAAAATATCTTTCAAAGCTTGCATCTACCCTTTTCTGCAATAGTTGCTGATATCAGGAATGTTTCTCTTCTACACTGAAGATTTGAAACAAATCAAAATGGATGGGATTTTTTGAGCCTCATTCACCAGCTGCATCTTAGTTCCAAGCTGCTGCCCATATGTGTGGAGTTGCATTTATTGTTTGCAGGAGAACTAGGCACCTAGAGGGAATGAAGATAAATAAATTCCCTATTTCACAGCGAAAGAACTTTCCAAGAAAGATTTTCAAATTTCCATCACTATACAACAGTAGAAAAATTTAAAAGCTTTTTCATTTTTTTGTTGCTTTGCTCAATAAATCTTCTCTTTGCAGTATATTTTTTAGATAGAGGAGCTCTTAATTATATGTGAAATAAGCTGAAACTGGAAAGGGATTAGCAAAACAGATCTTTCTGTGTTAATAATTTCTTTGTGCTAATATCAAATTGCTACTTATTTTACTTGCCTAGCATAAGAAAAATAATAGTTTCAGCAAGGACTTCAGGAAATATCCTGGAATCAGTGATCTGAGAACAAACCTCTTTAGTTTGGAGCAAGTATCACACCTTTTCTGGCACCAATTTCTGGCTTCTCTGATTCGTTTTTTTCTTCTCATTGCAGCAAATAAAGAGGTATGGCAATTCAAAATTCCCCCAGGATTTTACTGCTTTTGGCAGCCTTTGCTGTCAGGCCTCCTTTCACGAAGTTTTACACAGATCCTAATAGAGAAAATGTTTATAGAGCTGAAGGAATGTTCTGACTCTTCAGAACTCCGGCCTCAGTTCTTGATCAACTGGATTTCTGAGTTGCTGACTGGCATTGCCAGAGTAAATGCTGGTGAGTGTGTCTGCAATTTCTGTGTTTAAAAAAGCTCTGGTCTGCACAAAGATTTTGGCAGTATCTCAGGCAGTCATAGGTTAAGGTTTGGTGCTTTCAGTCAGTGCTGAGCATATCTATGATGTACCAAGATCCTGAATGCTGCTGGTTCCCAGCTGTTAAATCTACTGTTTGCAGAGCTATCTGGAATGATACTGGGTACCAGATGCAGTGCACTGCATTTATTTGGGATAATATTGTTCAAACACATCTTGTGGCTTTCCTGTCTGTTGTGACAAGCACAGGGCCAGCTTGGGAATGTCTGTGCTGCTTTGTGCTCAGGTCTGGTGGAGCTACCTGAGCTGTCCATGTGTTTTCAAGTCATTTATAACAACCTTGATGTTGTATTTGGTTGGTACATCTGGCTGTGCACTTGGGTTAAAATGACAGTTTATTTGAGGATGGGTTCCAGTAAAAATGCAGAGGGTTGAAGGGTTGAAGGGTATATTTTTGATGAATTTTGAGCACCCTATTGTTTTCATTATCTTCTTTGAAGGGAAGAAAAAACAACAGTGTAACAAGCAGGTGTCTGTGAAGGAGCTGTTCCTCCACAAAGTTCCTTTGCAGTGGATAAGACTGACTGACAGTTGCTTGCAAGCTCCCTGCTGGGCAACCCCACATCTTCTTCAGCTGTAAGTTTGATGCTGTGACCTAGAAAAGGGACAGCAAAAAGTGCTCTGTAACAGCTTTGGGTCCCTACTGATATGCTGAGCTATAGCTGCATTCCCTTGCCTTTCTTTGCATCTTGTAGAAATTGTAACAGGTGCATATAAAGCCATGCTTGCTGCTATTCACCTCCCCACTGATTGCACACAAAGAGAAGGAAAAGGATTTTAAAGGATTGCACCTTCCAAATGAAAACAGAAGTTATCTGGGGAGGTATTTAAAGAAGCAGCCTGTTCAGGAGCAAAGTGACTTGGTAGAGATGTGACCTTATTGAGGTGATAGGAATTTACCACAGCTCCTAACTTGTATACAAGAAAACAGTAAAGCAGTAATTCAGTTAGAAGTATCCCAAGTCCTTAATTTTAATCACAAAGATGGAGTATTCCAGCATCCACTGACCAGGGAATAATCAGATTTTGCCTGTTAGATGAGTTATGTGAGCCAGCTGTCTTGGAGAAAACAAACACTTAAAAGCAAAAAAGCCTCCAGATGAAGATTTACCAACCCTTTTAAGACTTTTCCTTTGCCCTTTCTCCTCTCTAGGATCCTCACCATCATGAGGCCTCGCTTGCCACGTTCTTCTCGGAAGAACCTGCTCTACCTTGCTTCCATTTACACAGAAGGAGGGGCCCCTCTGTCCAGTCCAGGCCTCTCTTCAGATGGCAGTGAACAGCCAATTTATACTATAGAGAGCTTACAGTGGAGAGCCAGGCAAGAAAATCAGGTTAAAAATCAAGGGCAGACTGTAGAGAAACAAGAAGATGTGCCAGAGAGGGACAATGGTGTGGAGGAAGTGGAAGAGGAGGAAGAAGAGATGGTGACTGAAGCAAATGCTCTGGAAGGACTTGCTCATTCTGGTACCATGGTGGCCATTGCTGAGAAAAGGGCAGCACTGCAAGGGTCTGCCTGGCAGATCACTGCAGGTAAAAAGTGACTCTAAGACAGTCTTCATTACTGACAAGTGTTAATTGAAGTGCAAACACATCTCAGCCCTTTGGGGCTGCCACAATTAAACTGTGCTTCCAAGTCATCTAAATGCCAAATTACTAAAAAAGTGTGGGTTTTCCAGTGTTTTATTTATGTTCAGAAGTCATTTCACTTAAACTCATAAAACACTATGAATGTCTTTTCCAGGAGCATGCTATTACTGTCTTATTTATTTTTTTATGAAGTTTTTCCAAACTGTTTAAAATTTTGGTGTATCCAGCTGATGGGGCAGCATATATGTCAGCTGCTGAATGGTGAAGAAAATATGGATTCTTGGACTTGTGTTTGTCAGACTTGGGGGTAATTGAAAGCAAAGTTTGTCTGTGAACCTAAGTTCTATGCTCTGGGAAAATGGTTGTTGTGACATGGTGGCAAACAAAAGAAAGGAGCAAGACAGGGTTTTAGAAGGAACAAACAGCATATCCAGTGTTTTGTTAGCTTTGTTCAGTAGCTGTATTTTCTCATTGGGGTTGGAGGTCTCTTTAGCTAAGAATTTCTGAGTCATGGAGGGACTCAGACACAGGAGGAGGAAGTTAGTGGAGAGGAGTTGGAGTCAAAATGACATTTAAAGGAAAAAAAAAGCAGCCACTAGAAGACTGAACTCTTGTACTTCATTCACTGGGAAATTTTCTCAAGTAAAAAAAGAAAAAAAAGAGATATCTTAAATATGCTGATGTGGACAGCTTGTTAGAACTGGATGTTTTGAGAACAGAAGCAGAATTGTCCTCTGCTTCTGTGACATTGGTGCAGATCATTTGCTGAATGGCTGAGTTGCAGGGGGCAGGATTTGTGGACTGGGGGAGGGTGATGTTGTGTTTCAAAAATCTCTTTGGGAAACTCAAAATTCTTGTTTTGTACTGTTTTTATCTAGATGAAGTACGATGGAAAGACTTTCCTCTTGGGAAACTCCCAGGTCAGACAGATGACCCTGATGGTCTCATGTTGGATAATTATTCTATGATGTCCCTGCTTGATCAGCCAGTGAGGGAGGAGTGGAAGCCTCTCAGTACAAAGTGAGTAATGGTGTGGGTGGGACTTTGCCCCTGAACCATGAAATGCATTTCTCTCTCTGTGCCTTTTACTACACCATGTGAAAAATTAGGGTTGAAATTTCCTTTTTACTTCTATTTAAATAGTTTGACCCAAATATCTACTATTGTCTCTAAACCTAACCTCAATGGTATCCTTTGAGCACACCATCTTCTAATATTGCTATCTTCACTCCTGCTGCTCTTTTTTAAAAGAAGCCATTCCAAGCATTATGAATACTGCTGTTTACAGGTATCAGCACAGCCCCAGCAGGCTTGAAAATTGTAGTTTCTATTAGCTGGGGCTTTGATCTTCAATATTGGCAGTGCCCAGTGACCTTTTAGAGCTGTAACTAGTAATTTAGAGCTGCAGATCTGACCTCAGGAAAGAAACACAGATTGTTCTGGAAATAACAGGGGCATTCTATAAAGCTTTAGTTCAGATCACCTTTGTTACTAAATGAAGCTCATTGGAAATGTTTTAATAGGGGCATTATTTCACACTTTGAAGTCAGAGGAACTTAAATGCTGCAAGCTGTCAAATCAGTTTCATCACACACATATAAACCCATATCCTATTATTTTAATCCAAGGAATGCTTCAGAATGTAAATGAATTTTAGTTATTTTCCTTAACACTCGATTGGACACCCTTCTAATCACTGATTCCTTTCTGTGGTTGGTGGACCCAATCTGGCAGCAATATGAAGGACTGAGAATCATGCAGCCTGGGATATACTTCACTGAAGAAATCTTGCACATGTTCATATTTTCACATATTAGAGTTGTGTTCAGATCCCAAGCTTCCAGTTTCAAATCAGAGAAGATAAGGGCTTCCATTTTTCTCCATCCTCTTGGTCTTCCTCCCTGGCATCAAATTATTGACCTTCCCTTATCAGTAACATCCTGTTCTTTTGGAGAAAGATGCCCTAGATGCATTTTGAAATATGATTTAGTAATGGTGAGGACTGATAGTATATTAATTCTAAAAAGCTACAAGCCAGATCTGTAAATTTCAGGCTGTGTTTTAAACAGTGTAATGTGTCATGCAACTGATATTACTAGAAAATGCTCATGTATAAAATGAGAAAGCACCTACCAGGCCAAAAGTAACATGTGTTTGTTTCTGCACCTCCTTGTGTGGGGAAAGGGGCAGACAGTTTGTTCCACTCAGATTACAGCCTGGGAGGATGCCAAGGAAAAAAATCTTAGAAAGAAACACGAGGAAAACCTGTTGCTACCACAAATAGAAAGGAGCAGAACCTAATTTATTCTTGTAGCTGTGCCTGGAAACAATCCAGGTTTCATCAGGAGTGCTCCAATGGCAGCTTGTTCATTACTCTTATTTCCCTTCCATAGCAGCTCCTCCATTTGCCAAAGGACAGGTGGTGTTAGAAAGGTGGTCTGACTTGCCTGAGGCAGAAGGAAGATTTTCTTGACTGCTTACATTTTCTTCTGTGTAGAAACCAGCCCACTGCTAATGTGCTTTATTCTCTTCCTCACAGCTCTGCAGAATTGAATATTCCCATGACAGGAGGATTGTTATGGACCCAGAACGACTTCCATAAAATAAAAAGTGGCCTTCAACTTTTCTGAGACAGCAGCAGAGTGCTCTGTGACTTTTAGTATTGCACAAGTTAAGTGGCATGGAAGATCTAGTAATGATGGTGGGAAAACAGTCACTCCAGGAGAAGTTGTTGTTGCTGTGATTTATTGATTTTTACCATGTAAAATCAATGTTTTATAAAGGTCTTGTGTTTTTAGTTGCATGTACAGTGACCATTGTCTTGCTTAACCAGTTGAAGTTTGCCAAATAGAGTTAAGTTTGGAATCCCTCCATGTTCCTTTTTCATAAATAAATACAACTGACTGGAGGCAAACCTTGCTCCTGGGTGCTGTTTCTCAGTTTTCACTCTGGAAAGTGTCCTCTGGCCAACAGTGAGACTATTGATTGATCCATTCTTATTTCACTGATGCTGATACTGTCCTGGAGGAGTGACTGTGCCAGGATGAGATTGTGCTACAGTTTTCACCTCTCTAGGATTTCACATGAAGCTTCAGGGATCAATCCTAGCTAGAGCATGGCTGACTGTGATATGTAAATAACTTTGAAATGTTTTTGTCACGATGTTTTTTCAAGTGAGAGTCTTGAAGCCACTACTGTCTCTTTTTGATTGAAGTGTTTTGCTTCATGTTACTTCTGTTCATGATTTTGCTGATATTCATAACCAATACTGTGGTGTTTGCTGAGAGCTGGTGTGATCACTGCAGAAAAGGACTGAACAAGTAAATTGCTGCAAAGTTGTTGAGAAAAATGGCTTCCAGATAGTTTTTCCTAAATTCAGCTTTCTTTACCTGTATTATTGGAATTTAAGAGGCTTCTTCAGTTACCTGTCAAAAGCCCCAGGAGTTTAAGTGTATATTTATTGCAGGATTCCTCAATAAGAATTTTTTAAAGTGCATCTGCTAGAGGGTAAACCAGAGAATTTCTCTGAGTCCATGTAGTAATTTTTGGGTTTTACTGAGCAGAAGGAATAACATATCAAGGAAAGGGATATCAAAAGGGGCATACAACTTCAGCAGCACATTCCATAGGGTTGAAATGCATTATTAGAACAGCAGCTTCACGGATGCTTTGCACTGGCTCTCAAGTAAAGGCTTAGCTAGATGGCCAGAATGTAAATATTATTTTGTTATTCCTTCTTCTCTAGATTTTTGTTATTCTGCTCTACTGCAGTTGGTTGTTACCACACATCCAAAAATGGAACATACATTGCATATTTCCTTCTATAAAAGCAAGCAGTGCCAATGCAAAAGGAAATAAGCTTTCTGTTTTGAGGGATTTTTCATGGAAGCTCTTCTCCTTTCAAGTATTTTTAGAAATGCTTCTTTTACCCAGTAGTTAATTAGGCTTATTTAGGAAATTCTGAGTGAAAGGGATTTGTTCCTTTATTACTGCATTTAGCTGAGTATGAAATTACTTAAATTACTGTATTTTCAATTGCAAACAAGCATAACAGTTCAAATAGGGATGTGCTGGCACATACTGTGCCATCTGTAATGTTTTTTTACTCATTGGAGAAAGTGCATTTGGTAAAATCATGTGCTGCTACCACGACTACTACAATACCTTGATCAGCTGTCATTACTGCCTTGTGTATCTGCCATTACCCCACCTAAAGAATTTGGGAATTTTTCAGTCAATCAGCTAAAAAAACCCCAAGAAATAACTCGGACAGACTGCAGCAGTTGTTTTGGGCAAAAAAGCTTTTTGGGGGTCTTGTCTAAAGAGGGTTGAAAAATAAAAAGCTAAAAACAAATAATCCAATGGCTCTCAGTTTTATTAAATAAGCAAAATTTTTTATATATATAAACTATAACATATTTCATATTATTAAATAATTGTGCAAAACATTTACATAGAGCAGGAGGGGAACAGGTGATAGCCTATACTTCTTTTAGATTCTTGCAATTCTTTTAATAAATTTACAAACTTTAAATACAGACCAAAATCAGCAATATTGTATAATGACTCTTGAAAGGCTAACCAAACACTGGCATAAGAATAATTTAAGTGATGGTGCAATTGTATTTTTCCAGTTGAAATATTGCAGGAATACACTTAATGAGGGCTCTGTCACACAAACAAGCGATAGGGACATCAGGAGTGTGAAAGCTGAATGCTCACCACAGAGGTAACTGTGACAGATGCTTCAGGTAAACTTTTGGCAAGTCAAGATCAAGTAATACTTCAACTTTGGAACAAAGTTTCACAGAAATGTTGCACGTTCCTTCCCCTTAGTGTGGAGTTTTAAAAATTACAATAATCCAATGTTCCTGTTTGTGGATTGATATAGATCAGGTATGCATACAGATCACCAAGTATTTTTAACTTTATTATTTGAACAAAATGCCAAAATGCATAATTTGGGATGAACTGGCATTAGAAGTATGTAGGGGTAAACTCACCTACTTAGATGGTTTTGGTTTTGTTTGGTTTTTTTTTTCAATGAAGCTCCTTCTGCTTGTTCTAAGCAACCATACTCCACACCTATTTTTAACTTTACAGCTAAAGCGTTTTTACAAAAGCTAAACAGACTCATGCTAGTAAATAAATTACATGCTGCAGCAACTAGAGCAGTGCCCACTTACCACTACAGAGATTTAAGAATACCACATACTGGTTTAACATCCATTTTCACTCATTTTGTCATTAAGACTTACATTATATTTGGGTCAACCAAAAAAACCCAAAGAGATTTATAAAATTTTACAACAATTAAACAGTAATGTTTAATTCTACAAATGAATAAAGCCAACTACTGCAGCTCAATATGACAACAACAGGACTAACAGCAGTGAAATCATGTACAATTTACTATATTACTGACATGTAATTCTTACAAAAAACATGAAATAATTTAGACTGACATCCCATAAAGCATTTGGTTTTTGATTTATGAATTTAAAGTTACACACTTTTAAGTGACAAATTATGTGAAAGTAATATAGCTGAAGATGAAAGAGAAGTAAATCAGAACTCCCAGAGAATGCTCTGGCCCCAGTAAAGCACTAAAATCTACTGCTCAACTCTTATCAACTGCAGTAGTCCACGATTTTACCTTCACTTTTTCCCCCCACATCTAGAATTGTTTTTTCATGGATTTTATTAAAATATAGTTTCTAGAACTGTTCTTTTACAGTTTTAAAAACATTTAAATACCATGCTCTAAAAAAGAGCATTTATACAAAGTCTTATATTTACAATATAGACAGTTATGATCAGGTGTTAATAAGATCAACTCTTCCATGTAAGAAGAAATCCAAGCTTATGCGCTAAAGATTAATGAACGTGTCAGTGTCCTGAACTGTCTTGTAAACATAGCTGAAAACAGGTGTGGATGACCAAATTATCACTTAAAGTAGTTGATCAGGAAAGACTACATCACATAGAAAAGTTGCATTACCTCTAAGGAGGACTAAACAAGCACAAAATTTGCAGGTTATTTCCACAAGGCTGCACTGCCAATTCTGTAACATGAGAGATGCCAATAGCTTCTCAGAATAAGACAATTTGCCTCTGAAGTGCCTTAGGGAAATAGTATGCTGGGTTTGTGTTCTCACAGCATTCCCAATGTTTAAAAAGGAATTCTTCCATCAGTAAAACAAAGGTTAGTGAAAATTAAAATGACTGGACAAATCCAACAAAAATGGATATCTCCATAAGCCACCCAGCACTTCAGACAGAAATGTCTGTTGAGTTTTCCACATTAGAAAACATCAAAATCACCTACTGATCCTCTCTTAAAATAGCTTATCTTTATAAATGGAGAAAAATGGAACAAACATTTTTCTGCATACAAATATTTAATTCCATGCAAGATGGAAAACATGAGTGCACAATAAACTTCATCTCATACCTAAATAATTTATAAATTAATTGGTTAGAATAAAATAGGGTCTATAGCAATTACTGTTACATTTTAAACACATGCAGATGAGTTAACAGCAACATTTTTACATAAAGTTTAGTGCAAGAATGTATCTGCTTAATAAATAGACTGAAGATACCTATGTAATGCTTTGAGGTGTACACACAGTATTTGTGCACATAATAACCTGGTTCTCAAAAGTTGTCCCTGTTTGTCTATAAACTACAAGTGCCCATTTTAAATAAAAAAATCCATAATTATTCATGGGCTACTTCCCTGTGACACATGGTGTCACAAACGTTGTGGTGAAAATGTAATACTGAAGTTAATCTAGAGATTATTTTTTTTTATACACAGTTTTTATACAATCAAGAAAAAGAGATACAATTTGTATCAACAAACAAAAGGTCATTTCTGGTTATTTGAGGCATTGCTCTCAGCTGCTTATATCATGCAAGAGAAGAGAATAAGAATTAATTGCAAATTAAAAATATGAAATGTTTTTGAAAACCGGTCAAGAGTTAAATCTGTTTTCCCCCAGCTGTTGTAAGTGTCTGGATCATTTTCCCCACTAACAGAGAGAATAACCAACTAATTGAAACTTAAGTTATTTGTAAGTACAGGATCACCTTCAAGTTACTTCATTTCAGATACATAATGACATAGTCATTATATACATCACCTGTACCAACACAAGAAAATTTATCCTGTGTGAAATGATACAGTTATCAAATGTCAGTAAATTAAATGTAGGTGCACCCATAATTGTGGTTTCTTGTTGGTTCATTTGGTGGGTTTTTTTATATGACAGGAACCTATTTTGCATGTGATAAAGAGCCCACAAGATATTCTGAATCAAACCAACCACTACAGTAACACAAGTGGAGGAAATGATAAACTTTGTTTCTCAGACAAACAGATAACTAGAAAGCAGCATGCAAGCCATTATCAAAACACCAGAAACAACCCTGACTGCAGCCTCACGTTCTGTGTGTTTCACAGTAAGAAACATTTAGGCAGTGTCACACCTTCTCATGAAGAAACAAAAGGCCATAAACCAGGCCTTCTCAACTTTCATGAAAAAAACTACAGTAGAAGTCAACAAGTCCTAGCTCGAGACATGTCGAGTTAGTCATGGTTCAAAATGTTGAAATATACAGTGGATTCAAAAAAGGGCGTACAGTCAGTGCAGCTTAAAAAAACCAATAAACGCCTCTTTTGGAGACATTTAGCTACAAAGGTTCCCACCCTGAGCAAGATACCAGTTGCGCAAACAATGCCACACAAAATTAGCTCACCTGTTGAAACAGGAACTCTAAAAGCCTTCACGAGGCAAATGCACACCTTAGCGTGGATGTGAAGAGCAAAAACCAGGACAGCTCTGCCACAAACCCAAACTGGAGCATCTCTTTTCAAGAAGCAGCCTTCCCCCTCCACCCTTTCTGAAGATGATCTTGTACAGCCCCCTTGAATGTCAGGCTCACTCAAACACCTTCCTTGCTCCCAGAGGAAGGGCTGCATTTACTGATGAACTTCCATGTTAATATCCAGTTTTTGCTGCTTCAAGTTGAGTAATCCAGTTTACATAATACTGACAATTTATTTTCAGCTTGTCTAGTTATTTGGGCCAGCAGCTGTTTACTGCACATTTGACAGGAGATTCTGGAGAGAAGCTACAGTTCAAGTTTCAGTTTACTGAATGGCACTCATGCCTTTACATTCCTTAATGTTTTGGTCCTAATTTAATAAAGTATTTGGCTTCTGTTGGGTTGAGCCAACATATTGAACAATGTAATAATAGTTATTCAAACTCTTGAGGGACAGTTCTGAAATTTAAGTATCAACAACCATGTTGACATTGAAAATCTGAAATCAGTTTTTCCTTTTATAAACAATTTTAATTTTTAGCAAATTTACTTTTTCTTCACTACTTAAGATGCCACTAGGCAGTGTCAAATGACAAAGCTGAAACCCTAAAAGTCATCTTGGTGTGTATAGAGCATACTTTTAGAGGCCGATTAGGTATTTATAAGCAAATTGTAAGTGTACACTAATACATGCAATATAATTGCTAACACTAATTTTGTAGTAACAGCTTTGAGACACTGATTGTGACATTATAGTTCTTAGTGAGCTATCCATGCAGCAAGGTATGCATTTCCTATAAAATACTATTAAAAATCCCTATATTTTAAAATCTTAAAATTTGCAATACAATCAACTTTTATATAGTGCCTCAGCATATATATGATTGCTACTGTGTACAGAACTTTATACTATCTTAGTAGAAAATATTTACAATAGATTGGCCTCTTCCTTCATGTAAGTTTTCCTCTGGGTCCTATGTGCTGTACAGGTTCATTTATCCAAAAGAGGCTGTACTGCTCTAACGCCCTGTTCTTAATTTGGCAACAATCATAGCTGCCAGCTGTTGTGCATCTGTCATGTGGGGATTCTTCTCCATCACAGAAAGGACAACGCTTGGAGGGAAAATATTGCAGAGGTTCTTGTATGTTTGATACTGATGTTCTGGGATGATATGAGGTTCCCGTGGCTCACCACATATCCCAATCCAGGGATTTCTCCAGAGCTGTTCCATCTTCTCAGGCATGCTTCTGACCATGACAGGTTCATAACATGGCTGCATGAGGTTGTTACTCAGTAGGTAGGAGTGGTAAGTGTAGGAGTCTGATGCACAGGGCAATGGATCCCAGCTGGCGTGCTGCTCCCGACACAGAGGTGGCCGTCTCTGCCTCGTGGGGTTACTCTCATAAAGCCGAGAGTCAGAAATGCTGTCCATTCTTGTCATCACCAAGGCACGGCTTGGTTGTGCAGTTGATGGATGAACGTTTTGAGGCACAGGGTATTCTCCTGGACAACTGGACCGTGCT